TTTAGTGGGGTCAAGGGTTCGAACCATAGACAATGGTGAAGGGGGATAGTCTGGCTTGTGTCTTCTTTTCATCAACTTTTATGCCTTCATTAGAGATGAAGTATCCCAAGAATTCCATCTCTTGAGCATAGAATTGGCTCTTTTCGAGATTCCCGTACAGCTTTTCTTCATCTAACTTCTTAATCACCAAGGTGAGGTGATTGACATGCTCCTCTTCACTTATTCTGTATACTAGGATGTTGTCAAAGTAGACAATGACAAAATGACCGATAAAGGGCTTCAAGACTTGATTCATAAGTCTCATGAATGTGCTTGGGGCATTGGTTAATCCGAACGGCATGATCAACCATTCGTATAACCCAAGCTTCGTCTTGAATTCCGTCTTCCATTCATCTCCTTCAAAGATGCGAATTTGATTATAACCGCTCCTAAGATCAATTTTTGAAAAGATCTTAGAACCATGTAGTTCATCCAACATGTCTTCCAAACGTGGGATGGGGTACCGATACTCGATAGTGATCTTGTTAATAGACTGGCTATCACAACACATACGCCACGTTCTGTTCTTCTTGGGCACCAAGAGTGCCGGGACAACACATGTTATACCTATGCTCAGGTTTTTATAGGCACAATCTCTTTAATGGCAGGGAGGGAAAGATAATCGATTGTCCTAGGTGGATAATCGATTATTAAAGGCTTCAGGTTCTGGGGCAATTTTCTGGGGATTTTCTGAGAAGGGAGATAATCGAATGACAGAGGGGTGGCAATCGATTATCGAAAGTTGCAGCTTTTTGGGAAAGGCTGATAATCGATTGTCTAAGAATGATAATCGATTATTGAAGACTGCAGGTGTTTCACGAAGGGTGGTTAATCTATTACTAATAGTGATAATCGATTATTTGGCAGCTCGGGACAAGAAAAGAGGTATTTCTTTGGGAAGGGGGAACAAGCCAAGTTGGTGTTAAGGGATATTACACAGCCTTATCTTAACTTGGGGTTGAGTCTAGCATTCAAATAAGATATAACACACTTATTTAAATAACTAGAACCTAAAACTCACACTCAAGAAAACCACTCTTAAGATATAGGATTAAGAATTTGGAATGAAACACACAGGTGTTATACCCAAACCGGGGGTCTAAACGAGTTGCTATTTTGATGAGGAATCAAGGAATGATTCAGCCTTGAGTTCAGGCTTCTGGAGTAGGTGATAATCGATTTACACGAAGTGACAATCGACTATTGAAGGCTGCAGAATTTCTGGGGAAGCTGATAGTCGATTATCTGGAAAGGGTAATCGATTATTGATCCCTGCAGGTGTTTCCAATGGGACTGATAATCGATTGTGGGGAATGATAATCGATTATTTAGTAGAATTCTGGGCAGGAAGAAGGGTGTTTTTGTGGGGGAATGGACTGGAAATATATGGAGATGATGAGGGAGTTCTTTTGGGTATTTTAATTGGAAAAAAAGAGTGAGATTAAGAGGAGAAATGGGGAGGTATGAAATGGGAGAAAATCAGGGATGGATAAACCAAGTTGGTATTTAAGAGATATTACACACTCTTATCCTAACTTGGGGTTTGAATCTAGAATTTAATTAAGATATAACACACTTAATCAAATATCTAGAACCTAAAACTCACACTTAAGATAACCGCTCTTAAGATATAGAATTAGGAATTTGGCTAAAATAGCATCACACTATTTTAATAATACTCAAAGAGTAAAAGATTTTGATATTCAAAAGGTGGTGTTACAATGGCCATATAGGCAGGGGAAGGGGGAGATAATGCACAATACATTGAATGTAAACTTTAGGGAAGCTTCCTTGGAACAATCTCTTCCAAGGCATGGGGTATTGGCCATTTATTCATGTCTCCTTAGTCGAATAAAATCAGGGATGGGGTTGTGGTTGTGGGGGTTTGTGTTTTGGTTCCTAGTGGTTGTATCCTGGGTTTTGTGGTTATATTGGCCATTTATTCATGTCTCCTTAGTGGAATAAAATCAGGGATGGGGTTGTGGTTGTGGGGGTTTGTGTTTTGGTTCCTAGTGGTTGTATCCTGGGTTTTGTGGTTATTATTTAGGTAAAAATGGGAGTTGTTTTTGGCTAATAAAAAAGGGCAGGGATGGG